ACGTTTAGGAGGCAGTTGACCTTGGCGTGGGCTCGGAGCTTCAGCCGTTGCACGGAGGACTGGCACGCGGGTCTCTTTCCCAGGGTGATCAGTGTTGATCGGTCCCAGGACTGCTAGCGCCAGGGGGTGATCCTGCCTGCGGATCGAGCACGTGGAGCGAGATGCTGATGGTGCATGATGTCCCGCCCTCCGCTCTGTTTGGCGCGAGCGCAACGGGGACATCCCAATTCAATCATCGAGTATGATGCATGGGGTGGTGCCGTTCCCCGGATGGGCTTCGGCGGAAGCCGCGGGCCCTGGTGAGTCGCGGCTGGAGCGGCTGGAGCTCGTCTTGTGCGTGAGGGAGTAGCGCAGCTCGAGAAATACGGTCAAGATCGTCTTGACTTGATGATTGAAAGCGAGGTCGTCGTAGGCAACGAGTGCTCGGTAGGCACCGCCACTGGTCCGGAGTGCGTCGACGCAGGCTTCCTTCTGACTGAGGTTGGTGCCCTGTCGGTCCTTTAAGGTAGCCTTTGGGCGGCCCTGGCCTGGTATCTTCGGCTGCGGTGATGCAAATGGCGCACGGCGAGGACCTTTCGGAACCATGCCGCGCGCGCGGAAAAAAAGGGATGTGGCACACATCGGCCCCGCATGGCTCATGTGGTTTCAGTCTCACCGGTTTTGGGGGGGCGCGGAAGAAGAGGGGAGGAGGAACAGGAGGGGGCATTTCGAGCACGACGGGCCTCGGACAGTTTGTTGGTTCCCCCCCTGGTTCGCGTCCGCCTGTCGCCGCTGTGCTGTTTCCTTGGCTGTTGTCCTAACCCCGCCGTCGTTCGCAAACTAAGCCTTAATCCGATCGGGCGATCATAGACCGCGCAACGCAGCTTCCCTCGCCCATCTTATGTCGATGGGGACGAGAAAGCGTCAGGGTCTCACAAAAGTGGTCGTTTGCTTCGTGACCTGTCGCGTTCCCTCCCGGCGGGACGGGCGGGCAACCTTGAGATCCGGGTTGCGGGGGGGAGGGGGGCGGGGGCGGCGCTTCGCTGCTTCACATACGTGCGCCTGCGCAAACGGCGACGTTGCGCGCATGTGTGTGGTGTTGCCGCTTCACCTGTGGGCCCACAGGTGGGGCGTCCTCCTCCCTGTTCGTTTGTTTCTTCCCCCGTTCGCTCTCCCTCCTTCACGCGCCGCCATGGCGCCACCGGCCACACGCTGCCGTCGCCCAGCAGCTGCCACCCGCGCCTGCCCTTGGCCGCGCCGCCCGCTCGGGGAGCGACCCGTCCCCCCTGAGCGGCTCGCTCCGTCCGCCCCTCTTTCGGCCGCGCCCTCCTCCCTTGCATGGTGGCACAACTCGCTCTCACGGCATCCCCGCTTAGGCCTGATCCGTTCGCCAGCGCAGACGTCCCTTGCCTAGCCGCCGACGCAAAGTGTGTGTGTGTGTGGTGTTGTGCTTCTGTGCTTCGTTCGCTGACTGCGAGCCGGGCCATCACGACGACGCGGATTGCGACGACGAATGGGATGAGTGGAAAAGAAGAGGGAAGAGCAGGGGTATAGCTTATGGAGGACAGGAAAGGACGAGGAAGAGGAGAGAGGGAGGAGGAGGAGGACGACGACGACGACGACGACGACGAGCAGGAGGAAAGAGGAGGAGGAGGAGAGCAGGACAAAAGGAGAGGAGGGAGGAGGAGGAGGAGGAGCAGCAGGAGGATGGGGGTGAAGGGAACGAGAAGGGCAGGAGGGAGGAAGGGAGGAGGAGGGGTGGAAGAGAGAGGAGCAGGGAGGAGGAAGGAGGGGCAGGGAGGAACGGAGAGGAGGTGGCTGGAGGAGGAGGCGGAGGAGGAGGAGGAGGAAAAGGCATAGGTAAGGTGTGGAAAGGTAAGTATGGGTAGCGCCGGGCCGAGGTATGAGGTCGAGGTCGGTTCGGGGAGGGTACCCGAACGTTCGCCGAGATTGCTGGATGTTCTAGCGCATCCTGGGGGAGGGCACCCTCCAATGTTCTGCAGGCTGGGCCGGCGGAGGGTCCCACGTTCGCGGAGGATGTTCGTCCGTCCCAGGTCCAACCGTAGGAGAGAGCTTCGTGCGCACGCGGGGCCTCGAAGATTGGCTGGTCGATGCGCGTCGGTGTAGCTCCAAAGATGTGATGTCACAGCGGCGTGGACGGATGCGAAGCAGGACGTCAACGGTGAGCGCCTCCCCTCCTCGTTTGAGCACTTTGGACACATGTTCACGTGAAGATTTCCCACGGGCGCACGCTGCGAAAGAGCATCAAGCCTTAAGATGACAAGTCCAGAAGTTTGCACCTGCAGGGTCTGCTGTTGGATGCCTGCTGGAAGACGACGAGCGTACTCAATGCTGCAGCCCTTCGAAGGAACAGATTCACCGCACTCCCCCTCGTCGCCTGCAGCACAATCCCCTTCGTCACTTCATGAAACACGCGACCGGCCACTCCGTCTGCTCGAACGCGGCCTCCAAAGTCATGCGTTCACCGCACCGCCCTGCAGAGACGCGGCATTCGAGTCCGTGTTTTTACTCCTTGCGTGATAAGTCGGGTTGCTTTTGTTCGCACGGTAGCCTTCCGGGATGTCCGAGACAGGGGGTAAGCAGTTGAGCTAGTTGCGTGCAGCAAACGGCAGGACCACCATTGTGGCAGTGTTCGGGCACAACGTTTTCCAACCACATGTTGGCCGCCAGTTGCAGCAAGCGAGTGCTTGAAGACGCCTTTCGCCCGACTGGTTTTGGGTCACCCTCGGCGTCATGGGCCGGCCAGCTCTCCCGGCTGAAAGAACAATAGATTAGAACAGATGTTATTCTCACCGGCATCCGATTAAGAAACTTCCTCCCGAAAAGTTGGGCCAACGTGTTCTGTGTTACCAATGTTCTGGAAAGTTGGCCCAGTTTCTTGATCACGTTCGCCCCTCCAGCGTCAACAACATGAAGTGGCCCAAGGGTGTTTTAAGATATTTCCGGGCAGTTGGGCCCTATGCCTTAAATCATATGTTGTTGGATCACAGTCTCGGTTGTATGTCAGTCTCACTTCGTCGAGCCGATGTCTCCATCCATTTGAGTTGCCTCTCCTACAACATGCATCTCATGAATGTGGTGTTGGCCTGCTACAAGACCAAGGCGTTGGTGACGTGGCTGTAGCATGAGAGAAGGATTTCTTCATAATCAGCATTAAGCATATGTTCTGGAACCCGTTGACTTTCCGGGCCTCTACTGAGGAGAACCACAGCGAGCGCAGGTTGTAGAGGAGCTTATTGATGACAGCAAGCGCAAGCGTACAAGACCTCGTCCCTAGGATCGTTGTTGGGCAATCTTGTGTCGTGTTTGATGGCCCCAGGGCCTGAGACGGTCTTCCAGAGGCCTACGATCTGGAAAAATGTCCGTCGCGATCTTTGCCGTGACGGCGGAGGACAGAGATCACAGCCTTCGATACTCGCCCAGAGCGGCGCTCCTGCACTTTCAGGCGAGGCCGGACAGCTAGTTCCTGGCGCCTCTTTGGCGATCCGAGCCAGGCCATTGCGGGAGCGCGAGCGCCGCTTCGGCGATTCGAGCGGATGGCTGCAGCGTGGCCAGCAAGCCGAAGTTGTCGTCCAGCAGCAGACGTGTCCCAGCTGTGCGCAGTGGCAGCAGTAGATGCCAGCCAGATGACGAGCGGCAGCAGCGGACGGCAGCAACGTGGGCAGCGGCAGCAGATCAACACCTGTCGTCCAGCCGTAGGGCATGCGACGCGATGTGCTCCTCTGGGTTTTTCACTGTCGCGCGTGCGGGACCGATTGCTGATAGGCAGAGAAGAACGAGGCGGAGACTGGTACAGTGGGGGTCCATGCGAACACCCTGCTTGCATCCAGCTTGTCCTGGGTTTCTTGGGTTTCGCTGGTTGTGGGATGGAAAACGTAACGTTTCCACACCAAAAATCAATGAACGCCCTGGGGTCTCAGGGTTGGGTTTATTGTGGAATGGCTCTTGTGGACTGGCCTCCACTGTATCTTCAATCCGCGTTTCTCTCCGTGGCACCCGATTTGGGGGCCCGATGTTCGGAGGCTCCCAGAGGCCTCCGGAGGTCTTCGCGGACACGTCTAGCGTCCCTGGCGGCCTCACGAGGCCCTCGGCGGCCCAGCACGCTCCAAGAACGTCAAACAAAATCGCCCTGATTCCTCCAACCTCGAGCAGGGATGGGGGACGGGGCACAAAAAATGAACAGATCAAGAATCAAACCGAAAAAATCGATGACCTATCGACACGACCGAAAGTGGGGCGTAAAGACACAACGGGGAAGAAACCCAACAGCAGCCCCTGCCCATAGTCAGCAAGACTCGCTGTCGGCGTCGCCACGGACCATGACCGCCTGGCACAAAAGATCGCCTGTCAAACAGCGGCCGCTGCCGGTTTTAGACAACATGTGGTGTCTCGGGGCTCACGAGACGGGCCAATACAAACGGGGGCCAGCCAGGGCGCCGGATTTTGCAGGATCTTGCAGAGCCAGGGGTGCATTGACCCGGGCTTGCGCACAGGATCCTGCAGGATCCTGCAGGATCGTGCGAAGCCCGACTGACCCAGGCTTGGATTGACCCGGGTCAATGCGCCCCTGGGAGTTGGTCGGCCACGCGCAGAGGGGGGTAGGGGGAGGGGGGGGAAGGCTTCTTAGAAGCACCCCTGCTTCTTAGAAGGCGCGGACCTTGCCTGTAGATGTGCGGCCAGCGCCTTCTAAGAATCAGCTTCTTCTTTTTGAGAAGCCTTCTCCCCTCCCCCCTATACCCCACTCTGCGCGCCGCCATGGTGGGCATCGTCTCCCATGGCTTCTCGTCCCCATGCCGGGCGTGCCAAAGATCGAAGAGCGAGGGAGGGCGGCCTCGCGAGGCCTCCGGCGGCCCAGAACACGGCCCAGAACGGCCCAGGACTGCCCAAGGCCTCGACCCTGGGCTTTCGAGCCTCGAGGGTCCAGGGGGGAGAGCTACCAAAAGACGATCGAGAATGGAGGGGGGGAGGTGGGGGGGGGAGGGAGGAAGCCGCGCGCCCAGGCCATCTCCATCGACGACGACGAGGAGGACGATCTGAGCACGCCTCCCAGCTCCGACCAGGCGGGGGGGGCGGCCCGGCGAGCGCGCCAGGGGCGCATTGGGGAACAGCCAGGTGGAGTTGGGAGGGAGGGAGGGAGGGAGGGAGGGAGAAGAGGAGGAGGAGGTGGAGGAGGAGGAGAAGGAGAGGGGACGATTACGAGGGAGAGGGGGGGATCATGAACGGCAGAAGAGAAAGAGGAGGAGGACGAGCGGGAGGAGGAGGAGGAGGAGGAGGAGGAGGAGACCCGCAACGGCGGGGCCACCAGACGCCGAGCACGTCGAGGGGGCCTCTCTGTAAACATTCAGGCTCTATTGGAGAAGCCAGGCAAGTGATATTGAATTACCTGATATCGAGAAATTCGAGAGCCATTGCATGTGGCGATGAGGCGCTGGACGAGAATTGGCAGTCTGGGTTCAGCGACTGACGATGGTGGAGCACCATGGAGGCAACATCGCCAAGAAAAAAGCTTGGCGACTGGATAGAGTGGCGCGAGGTGCATTACATGGTGGAGGTGGACGAGCACGACGGAATGTTGCAGCAGCAAGTTGAGCAGTGGACATCGAAGCACCCGGCGAGGCGCCAGCCAGGGGCCTTGTGACAGGGCATGGAATAAGTTGGCCAGGGTATGATATGCGACGTTCGAGTGATGCCGTCGCCCCGGCGCCACCGCCTAGCCCCCCGTAGGGCCGTCCCCCTGAGACGACATAGGCGCAGCCTCAGCCTCAGAATTTAAACTGTCATAGTGTTTCACGGAAGTGCATCTGTAATATTTCCTGGGGCGCTCCGGCCCCCAGCCCGCCTAGTCCCTTCGTGCGGACGCTTGCGCGCGGGATCGTTTCGCTTCGTTTCAAGACAAATACGAGTGTGATGGATGGCGTCCACCACAATAATTCCGGCTTGGTGTGTGAAAAGGCCATACTTGTTCTCAGTGCGTTCTCACTGCCATGAATACGGTGGACAACGCCCCGACACCGCTTCAAGAAGCTAGCATCTCGTTATATCGAAAACCAAAGTCAGGGCGGAAGGGAGCGCGAAATTATGAACGATGTGTTTCAGCGTGGGACCTGGGAGAGGGCCTCTGGACGCCGTCCCGAGACAGGCCACCAGGGGGGAGGCGCTCATGCAGAGGACGGGCACACATCCTGTCGGCCATGTGGGACCACAGGCAGTTCCACGAGCACGCGGAGCACAACAGTTCACCGTGGACATGTTGTCAGCGATTTGTAGATGCTCCTTGACAGAAGATTCAGGGCGCGAGCGCAGGACGTGGCTCGGCAATTCAGACGCGTCGCCGCGGTCGTCGCGCAACAGAGCAAAAGCACTTCACTAAAAGGCTTGTTTCTTTTAGCAGATAGACCCTTCAAAGTAATAGTGTGAAGTCTCCGCTTCCAACATCTGGCCGCGGGGCGACCTTCGAGGCCACGGCCCACGCGACGGCGAGGGCGACCTTCGAGGCGTAGGCCCATGCGATCCTTCGCGTGGACAAATGGCACGAAGCTAATCGGAATATGTCCATTGACGTTGGCACAGGCACGGCACACTTTGACGACTTCGGATTAACAGTTCATGATGAGATCGGGACTCCACGGGCACCCGACAAGTTCGCGACAGCTGGGACACCGCAGGGGTTGGCTGGTGCCCGCCAGCGGTCTCTAGGAGAACTGCCGGGCATGACGGATCTGGTTGCGAGGAGCCAGGGACTCGACTACGCCCCATGCAGACATAGAGAGCAAGCAGGGCACGGTAGGACTAGAAGGAAACAGTCCTCGATCACCAAGCCACGCCTCAAACATTTGCAGGGATGAAAGGAGCCATTGAGGAGAAGCACGTCGACACACACACACACACACACATACATACACACACACACTCTCGGAGATTGAGCTGGTTCCAAGGCCTTGGTGTTCTGAGGCAACGCTCTGGCTGTTGGATAGAGTCTGTGCCCAAGCAAGGACCCGCTGGCAAAAGCATCCTCGCCCATGCGTCGAAATGCCGTGGAACGGTGGCAGGCGTCGGATGAGGACCTGCTGCGGGGGAGACGGACTCACGGTTCAAGAACTTTCCGGATGCATCCACATGACGCCGGACAGGTTCAAAGAGCAGCTAGACTCTGCTTCGCGAATGAAGAGGTGTGTGGGCGCATATCGGAGATGCACTCTCAGATGACGGAGGTTGGTTGGGAGGCCTTGAACCTTGCCGTCTTTGTTGGAGTTGATGGAGCGCAGCATCAGCAGACCGCCACACCACCCAAGCAGATAGTAGAATACGCGATACGAGATTGAAGGACAAGATGTTTGCGATCTGCCGCGGGGGGACGCTCTCGCGAAGCCCGCGCACCCCCGAGGCCAGGAGATCCTAGCAAAAGGCTCCTGGCCAAGAGATCCTAACAAAAGGCTCCAGCAAAACCTTCCCCGAGCGTTTCAGATGCATCTCGGGGGAAGTTTTCACAGGCCAGTACCCACTTGGAACCACCGTTAACAGAGTGGGTTTTCAGATCGACGGACTCTGCCCTCGACGTGGAAGACCCGAGCCGGTCCTCCACCGAGCTTGGGCTCGCCCTCGCATGGAGGTGGATCGAGAAGTGCTCGATGAAGAGAGCCAGGCCATGGCTTTCCATTCAGGGCCAGTTGACCCCCCTTTTCCTCCCGTTGAATGCCTTCTCCCCCGATCACAAGTAAGCCAGAGAAGGAGCCAGGCGCATGGTCCTCTAGCGAAGCTGGATCAGCCTGCCAGGATTAGAACAAGACGTCTTTACAGTGGCGGGAGCTGCTTTGACGAGACCATTCCAGAGGTTGCCAGAGTTGGCTGGGCTGCAGTGGCAGTCACCTCCCAGGGGTTCTTGCTCACAGGCATCGCGGGCCCAATCCCCAACAGGATACCGCAAACAGGGTCGGCAACAGAATCTCATGCTGTTTTTATAATTTATCATTTGTTAGAGCCAGTCACGCATGGATCCCAGCACTGCTCTGCACTCAGACTGTTAAGCGGTTGTTTGTGGAGCAATTTGTTTCAGAATGGCCAAGCGTCAATCGTCGCCAAATGTTGGGGATTGGAGAAAAGTGATTGTCCCGCGTACCTGCGCATGAAAGTCAAGGTTCACGTTGATGAAGAGCACGATGTAAATTCTGAGGCCCTCTGTCGTACAAGGGGCAACAAGCTTGCCAACCACCACGCCAAGATAGCCGCCAAGAATAATCAGATGTGTGTAGCAGACTTGATGGGCCTCTTAGAGGCCCGTAAAAGACATAAAAGGGTTGCTAACTATATGCTCCAGATTTAGGTGGGGGGGGGCCTCCGCTGAAAGGTATCGATGGGCTTTCCTCCAGGACTCTCAGGGCCCGAGCCTTTCCTGTCCCTCCCCGCCCCCATGATCCTGCCTTGGATGGGTTTCGGTGGAGGCGCAAGCGACGCCACCGATCAGCAGCTAAACAGCTAACCAATTCTAGATGCCTCGGGTTGTGCCCTCAGAGAGCTTGTCGACAATGCGTCACGGCCAGGTTTTTCCCGCCCATGGTGGGCTGCAGTGGCCGCGAAGTCAGAGAAGGCCCATCTGTTTTGTAGGAGGTGCGGATGCATGGGGACCACCAGGGCATGTAAGATGAAAAGGCCCTGCCACCCCACACCCAGCTCTCTCAAGGACCTCAGGAAGCTGCGGAAAAGGGACGTACCAGGGTCTAGTCATGAGGTCTCAGACCAGTGGTCCCATCCATCAATTCGGGCCCGCTCTCGTCCAGGCTGCTTGTCTGCTTCAAGGGAGGCAGGATACCCAGAACACTTTGGAGCGGGCGTCCTTTTTTGTTTGTATATGTGCTTGCATGGTGCGGACTCAGTCTGGTTCACAGGATGAGGAGGAGGAGGAGGAAGAGGAGGACGGGGCGAAGGGGGCGGAGGGGGCGGAGGGGGATGTGGAGGAGTCGGAAGGCAGGCGGGAGGGGGGAGGGCGGGGGATGGTTCCCAACATGTGTCGAGCCCCAGAAAAGGCCCCGCTTTCGGCGCGTCCTCGACCTCAACAGAAGGCGGCGGAAGGAGGGCGAAAATAAAACGGCGGCGGGTCCGCCGGCCGACAGCCAGTGGAAGCTGGCGAATGTAAACAAACGCCCGGGAAAGATGCCTTGTTGTGTGATTCCGGGGCTCGGACTTCGCCATGCCGTTATTGTATGCAGAACAGGAGTGACATTTGGTGTTGGGCAGTCGGCGTTCGTGGCCGAAGCATTTATTGCAGATTGGGGTTTGCAATAGTATTGCGCTTTGCTCAGGGCAGCTGACGACTACGAGACGACACGTGCAGTTGCGAACGTGTTGCGCGTTCGGGGGGGGGGGGGGGGGGGAAAGGGCGGGGGAGAGGAAGAGGAGGAGGAGGAGGAGGAGGAGGAGGAGGAGGAGAAGAAGGGGAACCAGCAGGAAGGGAGAAGTGACATCTATTGGTCTGTGTGTTTCTGCGGCTGCACTATCCAGACCAACTTCCGGCCCGCTTGGGCACTTTTCTCCGACAAGCCACGTCCTTTTGAGAGTCCCGAGGCAACCTAGAGCGGCAAGGCGCTGCTGCACCCACCCACGCACACACACACTCACACACACACGCACACACACACACACGCACACGCACACGCACACACACACACAGTTTTCTGGCCAGTTGGTCCAAGACAGCGAAGAACTACCACCAAGCGCTGTTGATGGGGTGGCGTTGAACGCTCGATGCAGAAGAGGGGTGCGTGCACGACCATGCAAGCGCCACCCGAGAATGGTGCGACAGGAGGAAGCGACTGCACAACGCGGTGGCAGGAGGACGCTTGCGAGGGCGGCTCCGCAGGATGGAACGCCAAGGCAGCAGGCGAGCGGCGGGGGAGGAGGGCTGCCAGGACCAGACCCAGCACGGGGCCCTGGGGAACAAACACACACACACACACACGCACACACACACACACACACACACACACACACACACACACGCACGCACAAATTTGGAAGGCCACGGCCTCGCGCACAGCGTCGAGGCGTAGAAGGTCGAAGGGCGGAA